CAAAGCCCGCGCCCGCCAGTGGCCAGTCCAGCCTCTTCCTGACCCAGCCCCCAGCCCCCCGCCAGCTGTGGCACCACTCTGCCACCCAGATCACAGAGCTGGTCCTGCTCTGGGCACCCACATCACCTACTCCATCCGGGGGGTGTCAGGTGTGTGGAGAGCTGGGTCTGCTCACCGGCCTGTACTCTCAGGGTGGGGACAGTTGGAGCTGGGAGCTGGGGATTCCCAGTGACTTGCATTAGACGGGAACAGGAGTGCCCTTCAGGCATCTGTCGCGGGTTGAGTGGGTAGAACCTGGAAACTACCTCCCTATCCTGAAGGGGGGAAACTGAGGCACAGTGCAGGTAGTGGATTGCATCAGAGCTCCCAGCTGGTTTGCTGGGCCTCCCAGCCATCAGGCCCAGCTGCCTCTTCTGCAGAAGACCTAGGTCTGGGCCCCAGGGCACTTCATTCACTCACTCATTTACTCACTCACTCACTCACTTATTCATTTCTTCACTCATTCATTCAATCATTCACTCAGTGACTTCTTCATTCATCCACTCATTCAGTCATTCATTCACTCACTCATTCACTCCTTCACTCAATCATTTACTACCTCATTCACTCATTCACTTACTCATTCACTTCTTCACTCATTTAATATGAGTAAAGAAATATGATTTACTTATTCATTCACTCCCTCGTTCATTCCTTCATTCCTTCACTCAGTCACTCACTCATTTTATGGCTAATGAGTGCCTCCCACATGCCAGCGCCCCCCCCCAGGTGCTGGACACAAGCTAGGAGAGGCCTGGACGCCTGGGGCGCATGTGTCGTGGGGGAAGCAGCCACAGACTGGATCGCTAAGCAAAGAACTTACAGCTGTGGCGAACGTGGCACCGCGGGAGAAGAGGCTCCAGGTGGTGTAACGGGGTGGGGGAGCTGGCGCAGGAGGCTCTGGCGTGCAGGATGGGTTCACCAGGCCACTCCCGAGCAGGANGCAGCCCAGCTGACCGCTGCAGAGGCCCAGCGAGCAGACGGAACGTTAGCTCAAAACTAAAACACAGGGACCTTCCCGGTTCCCTTTCTTCCTGCTCTCTCCCCAGAGGCCAAGGCAGCTGAGCCAGTCAGGCGGAGACACAGAAAGAAAGCGCATTGGAGCAGTCCCAGCAGTGAGTCACCCCCCACCCGCCAGGCCCACATCTGTCAGCTCACGGTGTCCACTGGGGCACGTGGCTCCCTGGCTGAAAGCCGCTTTGGGTTACAGCCCTGTCATCCCTTCCCCACCAGAGGCTGGGCCTCGGCCCCTCCCTGGCTGGTGTCCTTTCTGGAATACAGTCGCCTGGGACAGAGGCTGAGCAGCTCTGAGGTGTGAGGCTAGAATCCAGGCCGAACAAACAGGGTGTGGGGGAGAGAAGGCCTTCCAGGGTGGGTGGGGGGAGGCGGGAACTCGCTCTGCGGAACTACTGTGTGTGTTACATGTGTGGGGCACCTATTATATGCCAGGCCCCAAGGAAGGCCTGGGGGCCCGAGGAGTAGAGACCGACAGACAGGTCGGCACCAACACAGGGCTAACCTCTCCGGGCACGAGGTGCTGGGCACAGGGCTCCGGCGCCTCCATACTGACCTCCCCTTATTCACCCACAACCCGGGGGGCATGCACCCCTTCGCAGCGAAGGGACCTGCCAAGGTCAAGGCTACACACGTCAGGGCGGAGTGCGGAGTCTGCAGGGCTCACCAGTGTGAGATGATGGCCTGGGGAGCGGCACTCCCTCCAGGGGCCCAGGCCGCTGAGGGAGGGCTTCAGTGCCCGGCAAATGCCAGGTTCCAAAATCTTCCCTTTACATAAGTGACAATCCAAGCATTTGCACTTAAAAACCCCGCTTCCTGCTTTCCCCTCTGTCCTAGGCAGACAGAGCTGATGGTCACAGAACTAAAACCCCCACCCCCGCCCCCCAGCTCCACTCTGCTCTGCCATGGAGGGTCTCTCTTATCAAGGTTTCTGTCCTCAAACCCCCCCCTTGTCCCCCCCACAAGCGTCTGGATGGGAAACAGTGTGGGGAAGAATGCATGTAAAGGAAGGTTTGCAACTTGCCCTGAATATAAAACAGAGACCAGCTCTTTGGTGCATCTCTGATCTCCTGAGCAGAAAGGGGGTGTCTCGTTTGCATAGCTCCATTCCCTCATTCACCTCACAGGTATCAGGGAGCACCAGTCACGGGCTGAATGATGCCCCCCACCCCCAAATCCATATATTTAAGTCCTAAAACCCAGCCCCTCAAAATGGAACTGCAATCAGAAATTGGGTCTTGGAAAAGGTGATTAAGTTAAAACGAGGTCACTGGGGTGGGCCCTGATCCAATGGGACGGGTGTCCCTATAAGAAGCGGGGATCAGGACACAAGCACACACAGAGGGGCGACTATGTGAGGACACAGGGAGAGGGCGGCCGGGTACACACCAGGGAGCGAGGCCTCAGGAGGAACCAGCCTGCTGGCGTCTTGCTTTGGGGCTTCCAGCCTCCAGGACTGGGAGGGCACAGGTTTCTGGTGCTTTGTTGGAGGCCCTGGCAAACTACCATAGCCCCTGACACCCGTGTGGCCAGGCCGGGAGCTGTGCCAGGCCTTGTTCTGATTCTTGTGAGGAACTCATTTCATCTTCCTGGCAACCCTATGAAATGGGTCTGCTATTGACCCATTTTGCAGAAGCAGAAACTGAGGCACAGGCAGGCAAGGCACGGGCTAGGCACCACGGATACAGGGACGGCCACCACGTTGCCCCTGCCCCCGGGGACCTCGCCGTCTGGCCCGGAAGTCTGGCACAAGAATAACCAGCAGAGCCTCATGGGCAGAAACTGCACGAGTCGGGGCCTCGGCTCAGGCCAGACCTGGAAAACAGCTTAGCTTTTGGCAAGCAGAGGGGAGGGGTGTGGAACCTTCCAGAAGGAGGCGCAGCGGGAACCAAGGCCCAGCCGCGCTGCGAGTGTGGCACTTAGAGGGAAAGATGCAGGAAG